AAAAAAAAAAAAAAACATTTCTACTCAGTTAAAAAACCATTTCTTGCTTGGTTAAAAAACCATTTCTTGCTTGGTTAAAAAACCATTTCTTGCTCGGTTCAAAAACCGTTTCTACTCAACTAGCTCGGTCGTTTAATTGTAGTGGCTTAAACCTGCCTAATCGTTTAACCATAGCAACTCAACTTGTTCGGTTAAAAAAAAAATCCTTTTCAATATCAAATTATTCGGTCATCCAATTGTTGCGATATCTTAATCTTTTTTTTTTTTAATTTACCTATTTGGTTGGTCAGTTGTGAAGAAAATTTTAAGTTATTCTTGTTTTTTCTTTTCATTCTTAACAAAAAGAAAAGAAAAGAAGGGCAACTGTCATAACTCAAAATTTATAAATTTTTATTTTTATTTTTAGTTTTTATCTTAATTAATATGTTTGGGTTTTACTTTCATTGTTAGATTTGCAAGCAAAAGGAAATTTTGCAAAAAAAGTGGGAGAAGGAGAAAGAAAGGACTCAATTGAAGAAATCAAAAGTTGGGGGATGAAATCTTTTAAGCTATAAATCTAGCCCATTAAAACCAAACCCAACCCAACACCAACCCATTTCAATTTAAAGCCTCAAACCCAAAAGCCCAAAAACCCAAAAAACCCAAGCCCACTAACTACCCAAAACCTATTTAACCCAAACAAACCCAAAACAAAAACCAAAAAAAAAAAAAAAAATGCAAAAGTCTTCTCCTCTCTACAGCCAGACCCTGCTTCCCCCCCTCTGCCCTGCGCCCGACCGAGCCCAGATCCCTTGCTGCTGTACGAGCCTGTGCACTTCTGCGCACCACCAAGCCTGCACCCTTGTTGCTGTGCCAAGCCCAGATCCCCTGCCCTACACCGACCTTGCCCAGATCTCCTCACTCCCGTGCCTCTCCCTTCTCCCGCACCCGAGCCGAGATCCCTCTGCTTTGCGCCCGACCAAGCCTTCTACGCCCAGATCCCGTGCACCCTACACCTCCTTTGCACACTTGCGCGCAATCATGCAATCTTGCACCCCACATTCATGCGTTCCTACACCCCCTGCACACCGAGCCCGCCCCCTCTTCTGCACACCAAGCCTACGCCCAATCCCACGCCTCTGCCTCGTACTCGCTACAGCCATACCCCTGTCTCACCTACAGAAAAAGCACCACATACCAGACAAAATCGACATCATTAGTGATTGATGGAGCAAGTTTTTTTTATTTATTTCATTTTATTTTATTTATTTTTTTGGGTATATATAGAAAAAATCAGATGAGGAGGGGAGTCTTGGGTTGATTTTGGAGTTTGATTTTGGGGGTCTTTTGGGTGGTTGATTTTCGAGTTTAGTTTGAGTCTCCGTCTGGGTTCTTTTAAAAAAGAAAAAAAGAAGGAAGAATCCGAGAGCAAAGGAGAAAGGAGGGAGATTTCGAAGAGGGGAGGGCTGGTTTTCTTTGAGGAGGTTGGTTGTCAAGAGCACCGCCTCCGTCGCTGGTGTTGAAGGGCTGGTTCGAGAGTGATGATCTGGGAGAGGGCAACAGCAGCTTATGGAGAAGGAAACATTTTCTGGTTTTGCTTAGGTAATTCCCTAAACAGAGGAATTTTTGGGAAGGATGGTGAGGGAGATGAATGGAGCTTGATCCCGTGGGTGGGATCCCTCCTTCCGATCCGGATCTGTCTTCTCCCAGAAAATTTTTGCCTTGTTTGTTGCAATTTTTCTTAGACTTCGATGTATTAGGACTGTATTTGATGATGATATTGTGAATGAAAAAAAAATCAAACATGTTCTGGTTGAATGTCATGGATTTGAGTTGGGATGAATGTTTATTTGTTTTCTTTTTGTCTGTGTTGATGAATGGTAGGATAGGAATCATAAATTTCCTTTTGTTTCCATCCATATTTCAGTTGTCTAAGTTTTGATTTATTTTGGTTTATTTCGGTGCCTTAAAAAAAGGCAAAATACCCAAATCCACCCTCAAAGTATAGTGGTAGGGACGAATCCACCCTCGAACAAAAAACAGGGACAAATCCACCCACAAAGTTTTCAACTTGAACAAATCACCCCAAATTTAACGTGTGACGTTATTTGACATCAGCAATTCGTTAATTCGTTAACGGATTGCTGACGTCAGATGACGTCAAATTAACAGATTGCTAATGTCAAATGACGTCACACGTTAAATTTGGGGTAATTTGTCCAAGTCGAAAACTTTGTGGGTGGATTTATCCCTGTTTTTTGTTCGATGGTGGATCTGTCCCTGCCACTATACTTTGGGGGTGGATTTGGGTATTCTGCCTTAAAAAAAATTAAAAAATATATATATGTTTTGAAATTTTAGGTGGTGCTCAACACCTAATAATTTAATATATGTTTTTTTTATTTTTATAGTTTTGAGATTACTATTTCATGACAAGTATATATTATTGTTTTTAAAACTTTTTAATGTTTAATCATTATTAAAATTGATATAAAGAGTATAATTGAGACCGAAAAAAGATTTTATGTAATAACTTATAATAATATATATTATGAATTGAATGAAAACCAAATATGAATCAACATAATTTGTGCAATATTAGTAATAAGTAAATTTAATTTTCTACATAAACGAAAGAATTTCACAAAATATAATGTATTTTTATTTATTTAAATTGATTTAAAGATATAGTGGGTCAATAAGTGAATATAGGTTCGGTATAATTTAAAAAAATTCATCAAATAAGGTAGAAAATTTCATTGTTACATGAGTAGTATACATTTTGAAAGCATAATAATCTAAAATCTATGTTGATTGATTATGGTAAAATCGAATGCTTTAGTACCTCATGTCTTAGTAATTTTATTTTAAATTGTTATTTTATTTTAATTAGTTTTAGTTAAAAACCTTCCTTTTTAATTTTTCAAATGGATAATGATCGATGCACTTTTTAATTCAACACACCCTAAACACATTCATTAAGAAATTATTATTTTCAAATCTAAATTAAAATTAGGAAAGCTAAAGTTGTAGATGTTAATGGCAGAATCAATGAGTGTTGTAGGGTGTGTTGAACCGAAGGGTGAACCAATCATTTTCTTTATTATATTACTTAAAGCGACTAGTGCACTTACTAGAATAATTTTAGTTCATCAAGTTTTTGGTAGCATTGTTAGGGATTGTTGAATTTAATTAATATTGAAGCCAATTAATTCTAGTTTTAATTTGACCATTTTCTTTTCTTTTAAATCTTTACTTTGATTTTTTTTTCTTTGTTTTTGTTTTTGTAGGTCTAATTATGGATCAAGTTATTATAAACACTTATATGAATTATCAATGTCTTGATCCAAAGTTAAGGGCACAAGTTGAAGGAATAACTATCAATTGGAAAGCAAAACCTGACAATGATGAACTAACGATTCAAGTAGTAATTAGAGGGATCAAGTTAAAGAAGGCTATGATAAAAAAAATTTAATATCACTTGTCGATAATGTGAAGCAGAACCTTTTTGTTTTTATTGCTACTTTGAACTATCTACCAAACATGCTGATATTTCTTATGATTTTTATAACTAGGAGTATAATTCTTATCCCAACATATGCAACTTTAATTGGATAAATTATTCAAACTACTCATGAAATAATTAAGATATATTAGAACCACAATCAACATTTCAAGCTCAAGAAGAGAAAACATGTTTGGACAAAAAATTTGGACATCCAGTTGAATCATTCACTCAATTACTTGGTTGCTAAAGAAATACAAGGACAACTTGAAGAAGTAGAAAGCATAGCTGTAGAAACTAAACAAGAGGATGTCCCTAACGAAGGAGAGGAGAAAGCTCTAGTGTCATATGAAGTATTCAACAAGGAGTCTTCATTAACTAAATCTAATTTTAATGATTATTGTTATTAATATAGTTGATGAGATTTTGTAGGAAAACACTCATAATGATCTATTTGAGACTTATCTTATTCAAGGATCTAACCAGAAGAATACATATATTGCTTGAACACATTAGCATCTTACTTGGAATGAACAGGGATAAGCCCAGAAGAATTGAGAAGGCACACCTCTTGACTTAAACCCAAACCAACTTAGAAACGTCAATGGAGAAAATCTTACAGTGGATTCGACTTGAGGGCAAGAAAGAAAAAATTCAAGAAACCGAGAGGATATGCCTTACAACTTGATCCTACACCACCTTGGAGTGGTAGAAAGTTTAGTTAAAGACTATAAATCAAGGGCTTCTTAGGAGACAACCCAAGCATAAAATCTTCTTTTATTTTCTTCTTTTATTTATTTTTATATAAATAGTTTAATTTTTGTTATTCTAATTTGTTTTCTTATGTCCTAGTCAATGCACAAAGTTTGAGGGAAATTCAACCAATTGAAGGAACCTCAACTTCAGGCTCAATTTCAAATATTTGAGTGCTAAACTTGGGAAGTTTTTCTCCTTTATTCTTTTTTTTTTAGTATTGGCATAGTGCATTAATGCTAATCTTTATGTATTGATAACCGAAAACTGAGTTGAAATATGAATGGATTTTATTGGAGGCTGCGACTATGAAATGCTTGCATGTTTTTCTAATTGGTTTAGGCATTTTCAATTCGTAACAATTGGTTTAAGGTGCTGCTAGGAAGTTGCAGCGGATTTAATGCTTGTTTCAAATATTTCTTTTCGAGTTCCTAAGTTGTGTTCAACGATTGCTTGTTATTAACACTAGGGGAGGGAGGAAAATGAATTTTAGGCATCCATTCTTAGTTTAATCGCATAATTGCACTGCATTTTTCTTGGGAAAAAATTATCTTTTAGGCATCCATTATTGCTGTTTTTTTTTTTAATACTATCTAGTTTAGTAAATTAGGGTGGATATCACTAATCATGTTATGCTGTGTCCTTAAATTTGGAGGGAATTTATTTGATAGGTTGAATAATTTGGCTTATAAATTATTGTTCTTTGATTTTGGCCAAGTCATTGAACAAGTTTGTGGGAAAAGAAAATGTAAATTCACATACTAAAAGTCTCCTCTAATTAAAGACAACTCAACTTCAAATCTCAATTTTAAATCTTCAAGTTTAAAATCCGGAAAGTTACTCTTTTCTTTTTACTTATATTTTACATTGAGAACAAAGTTTAATTTAAGTTGGAGAGAGAGAATAGTTTTGATGTGTCCATTCTTACATTAGTTTGCATTCATATTTGCATGACATACATTTTTCTTTTAGAAATTAGGGTTTTTTTTTTTTAAGAATTGGTTCAATTAGTGTCAAGAAATTGAATATTTTTGAGTTGAAAATTCAGAGACTTAGTTAATAGGAGAAATATTTTTGAATCTTAGAGGACATAAAAAAAAACTGAAAAATAGCACTATTTTGATTAATTTTAAGTCCATGAGCATCTTATTTTATTTGAACACAAGTTTTTAGTGAGAAATTTAGAAAAAAGATTTAGTAGTACCTAAAAGCACATAAAAAAATGAAAAATAAAAAAAAATTACAAGAATGTTTAATAAGTCATGAAGTAATGGAGCAGTGGTTCTTAGTTTAAGCATCATCATTCACATGTAAAATGATGAGTTGAGCATCTTTTAAAAAAAAAAAAGTCAAATATTTCTTGGCTTTTGTTATTTAAATATGTTTTTAGAGGTGTCTCTTCACCTAATGCCCTAAAGCTAACTAATTTGGGAGTCATTGATGGAAACCCCGTTACATGCATCAGCTTTATTATTGTTCTGATGTCATATGTATTGCAGTATAGGACTTGCAAGTGTTAATTTGTCACATTATTGGAAATGTGGTAAGACCTGGGTCTTTTTCTCCTTCCTTCTAATGGGACAAGGGCTAGCCAAAGCGAAGCTTACCATTATAAACAAACCTAATTAAGTTTCTCTTACAAAGGTCCCCAAATATATGCAAACGTTGGATTCTGTCCTCTCTTAATTTAATGTAGAATTAACAATCTAACTTATTATCAACTTTTTTTACAAATTATTAGAAAAAGAAAAACATGTATGAAGAATTTTTGTTTGGGTAATGAAATTCATTAAAGATGAGTAGATAAGAGCACAATTATCAAAATCTGAAGCTCCAAGGCAATCAATATGTTTATAAGAGAACTCTCTGTTTTATTGTCCTTTTTTTGATAAAGATTTGCGCATAATATTGATTATAGTTTGCCTATACGATGAAGTGCGTGCCAAAATTTCTTCTGACCCTTAATTTTTTTTTTATTATTATTTATGTTTCTTTAGTATTATACAGTTTTTATAATTCTTCTTAAGTGTTTGTTTCTTTTCTTTTGCAGGAGGAAAGAACAGGAAACTGAAGATGGTAGGAAGCAGAACCCTATCAAGTTGAATGAGATTTTGGGATTTTGGGCATAAAAGAGCTTTTCACCTTGGAGATTTGAATGATCCAGATGTTATTAGTCCCGATTTTACATTTTGGGGTTCAGTCCATTAATCTTGTAATTCTTTTGAGGGCTATTCAGATTGCAAAGCATCACTGGCAGAAGCAGAACTACTACATGGAACAGCAGTACTAGTTTTTGCCGTTAACACAATGGACATATCCTCCTATCAAAGACCAAGACGAAAACTCTGCACTTGCTAGTGTCTTTTCTCGTTACAATTGCTGTCACAAATATATATAGTCGCAGGCATCATTTCAATCTTGAGACATTTGTTTACCTATTGGAAGGTTAGTGTGTCACCCTTGGTTTGAGGCCTTCACCGAATTGAGCCTTCCGCGTGGTTAATTGAAGGATTTGGAGAGAATACTCTGTAAACTTAGAGTTCCTAATCGGGCTCAAAGGAGAAAAAGACGGACACAAAACGCATGACTTTTGAGAGTCTGATAATGTGGTCCTTTCTCTTTTCCCAGCTTTCATTTTAGTCCCGGCAAATAAAA